CAAAGTAATGGAGAACAGCAACTGTGGTGTGCTGTGGTGACACTGGAAAAGGTCTGTTGTCCCATATTTCAACCGTGACCAGGGTGAATAACGGTCGAGGATTTCCTCGACCATAGCTCTCTACCATGCGAGAGTAGTGCCGAGAGTGAACATCCGCGCGGAGAGCACAGACGGCACGCGCATGGCGAGTGTGAATGTCCGCGCGAGAGATCGTGTCTGATCGGGCAGAGAATCCTCGACGTGCCGTTGAGGAATCCTCAAGCGATATTCACCCTGCCGTGGACTCCTTCCAGGCTGTTGGGTGACCCATGTCATTAGGCTAGCAAGCCGACCAGCTTTCTTTCAGTTTTTCTGAAATGAACAACAGAATTCTGCCCTTTTGGTGAAGGACCGTCTGGAGCCTCATCGCGTCACATAGGCTTCGTTCCACATCGCTTGCATTGGCGCACTTTTGATTTAGAGCAAGAGCAGTCGACTAGCTCTCACTCAAGGATGATTTTCAGCTATAATCGCTGCAAAGTGCTACGCTAGGTATTATTTGAAGAGAGCAATGGCCAAGCTTCACACAAGTTTTGCAGTGAATGTTCCAAATAAAAATTTCACAACATGCAAATGATCAAAGACTTTCGAAAACCTAACAGCAAAGTCAACAAATATACTGTTCAACCTTTTGTTTTACCGTAATTGAGATTATGTGATGAAAAGGAATGGAATGAAAGGAATACTTACTCAGAATTGTGATGAGTGGTGTTTAGAACGTTACGGCAGGGGATTGCTGGTTCATCAGCGCATTTATTGCCTCCCATGCAACGCCTCGTTCGACAGTCCTAACAGTGATCAATCATCTCATCAACATATCCGAAGAAGGATACAATAAACCGAACAATGTATTGGAGTCAGCGCTTGGTTCTATGGCCAACATATTGCGTACCATTCTATCACACGACAAGGTTTGTTTCGCTCTACGTTTCATGTTTGATTTTCGGTGCAGAGCTGCGTGACCGTTCTTGTCTGCTGGAAGATATTCATAAGTTTCAGGAGTTTGAATTACCTGCAGATGTCCTGGAACGTCTATTGTCCGTTTGTGAGAAGATAGCTGTTTCGCGCAAAGATGCTGTTTCTACGAAAGCACATGAGGAAGCAACAAATGCCATAGGTTTCTGCGCCACAACAATGAGTTCATCAATTTATGATAAGGTTTGTTCTATCGAGATTATCGGTATGGTTAGAATTATCTTTGGAGTTTCTCATTTTTTGCTTCCAATTAAGTTGTCAGCGGTACTCTATTCAATCGGAAACGGCCCTCCTCAACCAGAAGTTCAGCTTATAGTAGGGTCAGCGCTCTTTGATGTTGCGCTTGGGCCTTACTCAACCTCTCGAAGAAACTTGTATCTGACTTTGGAGGAAGATTTTGAGGTAGCTACAGTTCGCTATAAGTGACTTTTCTTTTTTTAGTTAAGTATCTGTATTGCAGCTGAGCTCGCTTACTAGTGAAATACAAGACAATTGTGAGAAGCGACTGGCTCAGATATTCTCAAAAATTTTTGACGAGAAGCTGTCATCCTTGAATCATCATGAACGACGTTCGGCTTTAATATGGTTACTCGTCATTGTTCGAAGGAGTTTCAAGGCTCGTGCCAGTCTATTAGCAGGGATGCTGGACAAAATCCAGACTGGTTTCGCCATGGGTCTCGCAGAAAACGACGGTCAGTCAGCTGATTTTTACTTCCTTCATTTATTTAGTGCATATCGATGCGAAATGTCCTGTAACTATAATTAGTGTTAAAATACTCAAGTCATTTGCCTGACTTTTTCATACTTGAGATTAATCAAGCATTGCTGTTGTGTGGTCTGTGTTACGTGGTCTCGTCGTATCGGTATAAAGCTTATTGTAATCTTGGCCACTACATACCATCACGAAATAAGGGGAAGGATAATACATAGATTCTGAATTGACATAAGCTGACCGTTTTATACTTGACAGTTCTTCTCCATATGTATGGTCTGAATCTAAAAATGGAAGGGGCCTAGAATCGTTGGCCCTTTGTTCCTACGCGGCCGAAAAGTTTCTTTGATCATACAGAGCGATGCTATGCTGAATGCCACATTCCCGTCAGAGATGTGTGTGTGCCATGGGTTAGGATTAGATACCCAGAAGTAGCCTCTTCTAGAGTGATAAGAGGCTCAAGAGGCGCGACACTGTCGCAACTCAGGAGTGCGAGGCAACGGTGCTAAAGCCTTGCCTTGTGTGGTGCCTATGTGCCAGTCTTGCAAGGGAAATTTCATTATTTATATGGCGCTTTTGAATTTTCTCCTCGTTAACGTTGCTTATTGCTTTTTTTTTCTAATTTTCAAACAATAAACGTACCAGCTTAATCCCCCTGCCTTTAAGTGTTCGATTTCCTTGATTTTAGATTTCACCCAGGATGTAGCGTCAAGTGGAATCGGTTTGGTCTACGAAATGGCATCCGGTGACCAGCGAAAGGCACTGGTCAATGATCTTATTTCACGAATATCCGATGGAAAGCCGTTCTCGACTACTAAAGTGGATTCCAACACAGAAATCTTCACTAAAGAACAACAGATCACTGGTCCTGATGGGTTAGTGCAAATGATTAGAAATGAGCGAAATTTCACTAAACACGAATTTTAGACAGCATTTGAGCACATATAAGGAACTGTGCTCGCTAGCGACAGATCTCAATCAACCTGATCTGGTCTATAAGTTCATGAATCTTGCAAGACATAACTCAGTATGGAACCTCAAGAAGGTAGTGGTTTATGGATCATGCAGCTGTACCTTTCTGCACTTGTGGTTTTTCATGTTTCCAAATATGTAGTTAAGGGTGCAGCCTTGGGTTTTGCGGCTGTGCTAGAGGAAGCCAGCAGCGAATTTGAACCATTCATTGGTCAGCTAGTACCGAAGCTGTTTAGGTGAATTATTCTCTCTTCAGTAATAGGTAATCAAACAATTCGATTTTGATTAGTGTTTTTGTATTCAGATATCGGTACGATCCGGATTTGAAAGTCAGACAATCGATGCGTTCCATTTGGACCGTGCTTACAGCATCGCGTAGAGGACTTGTACGTGCCCATTTACTTTTTCTGTAATTTGGCATTTCTTGAGCTATTTGACTCTCAACTGCCCCTACATTTTATTAAACACCCTTGATGTCTCTCTATCTGTCCGCCTGCCTGTCCGTCTTTCGCGAAAGTCGGTACTACAACCTGCAGAGCGAGGTTCAACTTTACCATAGTATGGGACAGGATGATGGAGCATGCATGCCAAGCGGAACCTCATTGCCTCTTCTTCCCAATCAGTTATTTAGGCAGTCTCATACCGAACGGAAAAATTCCGAATTTGATTTCGGAACGGCTCAGAGTTTAAAAAAATGAGTTGTGTTGTGCACCGGGTTGAGAGGTCGAGTTAATGTTAAAGAAGTCTCAACTCTGTCATGGAAAGCTTTCAAAGCAGCGAAACAAGCTGTTCATAGCTCTGCCAGCCTATTCATAGCAATTCCGAG